AGTTTAGATAAAAATGTCCTTATCTTATGCTTCATTGCCAATGGGACCTCATAACAAATGTTCAAATGAATATCTCATTTAAGTTATTTTCTCCAATGCTTCTTCTTTTGTGACTATATTGTTAATTTTGCCTTGCACTAAAGAAAGATAACAATTGAGTAGGCTTTAGAAGAGTGACTGTTTGTTATTAAATGGAGAAAACAAACAGCAACCCACCAACACTTCCTCTCTACTCCTACTCAAAAATAGGCACATGAAACATTTCTCATCAACCAAATTTTAAAAAGAAGCAAAATTACATAGTATACAGTTCTTCCATTTATGCCCATCCACATTTAAAATCACGTCTGAAGTCCTTAAATGTAATTTCATGTATTTCATGTTTTACAAAAGTAATTTCACAATGTTAGTGAACAGAAGCCAAGCTGTTCCTACACAAGGATCCATAAATAGTGGTTATGGAAAGGGAGCTCTTACTGTTTCATTTACTAGTAATGCCTGCACCATAAAGCAGGCTACAGACTCTCATTGTCTATTTTGCTTATCAGCAAATTCTGTTCTCAGCATAGAGGATATGATTAGAATGAAAAGGAGAAAAGATCCCTGAGTATTTCTTCCTTTGCAGTGTTTGGAAGTGGAAGCTGGATAGTGAGTTCCTGTGTTCACCAGGGCAAAGCAGTGTATAAATAAACAAATAAATGGTGATACAAGATATAAGCATGGGAAACTGGATGAGACTAGGAAATAGTCACTTAAAAAGCAGTATTGTTATGTTGTAAAAAAATGCCACAGTGGCCCCATAAATAGCCAGCCTTTATGCAAGATAATTTTCCATTACACAGATGGAAACCAGAAGTAACTAATACGAACTCATTAAAGTGCTAATAAAGTGGGATGAATCTGCCTATAGAATCAGAAGCCCAGCACCTATTTGAAGCACGGCAAATGACTAAAAAAAGAATTGCATCAGCTTTCCTTAGCCCAAGTCCTTAAACATTTTAAATACTGTATGTTTTTAAAAGGCATAGTCATTTCCTTGTGCTATAGCAGTTTCTTCCAGGCTATACTTCATCATATCTCAATACTTTTGGTTAAGTAACAATCTGGCATTTTAGACATGATAATCTGTGGTGCTGCCTCTTACTTACAACTTCTATACTGGACGGGGTTTTTCATGATCTCATTCTGGGTATAGAAATCTGTTTTAAGGTCCAGTTAAAAATAGAAGGTTTTAAACTTAATTTATTTCATAGCCAAATCTTTACATTTTACTGTTGTAAATATCTTTGAAAAAAGCAAATAATAGTTGTTTTGAATTTCAATATTGAGTTCTATAACAAACTATACACTTAAAAGGAAATACGAATGCCTGTGTTCTAAGGAAATTCTACCAGATAAATAATACATTAACTAGCTATATTTTTTAAATTGCATTGCAATTTGTGATTATTGCTGCCAACACAAGGTTTTGCAGAATTTAGATCCCTTTCACAATTAAAGTTGCTAAGTGCATAGTGCCATAGCACATGACAAGTTGCCCTTTAGCATTGGCTAATGACAGAGACCCAGCTTATTCATAGCATACCATGTGTCCTAGAATATAAACATGAAAAAAAGTAAGTAATGACAGGAAAAGACCTTTAAATGGATCAGTCAGATAAGTCCACTAGATTAGATGATGGAATGGTGCCTGGATTTGAATTCTTGGCCACTTTTGTGAGACTAAGTTTTAAATATTTTATAAGACAGAAAACTGGAATAGGTATTGCACTATTAATTTGGTTTACAATCTATAAGTTAAGAGTATTTACATAAGACAATGCTTAAAAGCTTAGTTTTTATAAGTGTAAAAACAAAAGCTTTAATGTTTTCATATATTTAGTACACTGTGTATTGCTAGTGCTTGTATATGAACTCTGGGCAGCTGAAAAATTCAGTGATTCTAAACTGTGCACTTACTTTTCCCGTCCCAACCAGTACTGGCCTCTTCGCTCTTACCACAACTAGGCAAGCCCATACTTTCGCAGACAACAGAAAACTCTTATGCCCATGCCTTTTTAAAGGCACAGAAAACTGCACGCAAACACACTGGAGAAAGTGTAAAGAAAAGCGTATCTCAAGAAGGAGGCTAGTATGGGGTCTCCACAGCAAAAGCAGAATTACTGTCTTTGCTCACACTGGAGCAACCTTGTTTCTTAAAATCAAGTCCAATAAGGCCAATATGCAGGTTCTGAGGTTGCCCAGAGGAAAAGGTTTGTGAGACTATAATCTTTGTGGAAAAGTTGTTCCTTGACCTTTTTTGCCACTGTATGTCTACTGCAGCACAGGGAGGTCAAAAGTGCACTAGTTGTTAGCACCAAAGATGAAGCTTAACCAGACACTGAGAGCAATGATTGTCAAACGGCTCCATTTGCAAGACAAGAAGTGTATCCTTAGCAGAGCAAAGGAGATGAAAGAGATTATTTTCCAGGGGTCACATTTGTTCTTCTTTTCTGACCTCTCTCAAGATTGCAAAAGAAACAGTAAGAGTTTTCTATAGCAAAGAGGTGCTACAAAGAACTCGGGACTATGCTTTCCTCATCTCTTCTCTGCCAGTCTTCCATCCACGGTTAAGCTCTGTTCTTTCTTTCCCTTTCACAAGAGGCTAGTGAAAGCATAATAATTAAATAGAGAAATTAAAAAGACAGTTTCAAGTGCTTGTAATTTTACATTTTAAAGCCCTTCGTAGAAGCTGGAAATGAGTCTGGGCTATCATTTGGAGCTTTTGTTTGTTTCTTGTACTCCTTCCCCCTGTTTCTCTCATTAGTACCAGCATGGTGGCAGCACCTAGGAGCCTTAGCAATGGGTATGTGAGGTACTGGACATGTATAAGCTGTTTCTGTCTTGCATTTCCAGCTTCGCACTGCGTTTTATTGACTGTGGCTTGAAAGGAACTTATCTGATTTAATTTCTGGTTCCCAGAAATTAAGTTGCAATGCCATCTTTATTCCCTCCTTTGGTTGGCAGGTCACATTCCGCAAGGGTATAAATACAAAAGCTTGCATGAAAAGAGACTTATTTAATAGGTACTCAGAGTCCTGAAGATACTGAAATGATACTATAGCAATTTAGAGAAGTATCTTAGCTGATTTTAAACTACTTTTTTGATTCCTCTTAGAAGCAGGCAAAACACATCCAAAATCTACTCTGGCTCTAGAATGTTGAGGTTTTGAACGTGAAATAAAAAATAAAATTTTTACCTGTAACTGAAATCTTCAGGTTATCATATATTGATAAGATGAATTATTTGTCATTCAAACTGATACATTTTTTTTTTATAAGTAGTGAGTATGAAACTCATCACTTCTCAACTCTTTGATAAAAGATCAGGATAGTGGATAAATGAAAGGGTTATTACAAAGCACAGTGTGAAGTAGTTACTGATTTTTGTGCTTCTCTACTGTGACCTAAAAATCAAGTTTGACCTAATTTTTCAAGATCAAGGAGGGGGAAAAGAGACATTCTACGCAGAGGTAACTTGGAAATATGTTTCAAGGCAATTGACTAGAAAGATGGAATAAAACTCCCTAAATCACCGCAAAAAAAAAAAAAAAAAAAAAAATATAGATTGAAATTTTTTCAAGTGTGTTTCCCTCTTCTTTAAGAAAAAAAAAAAAAAAAAAAAAAAAAAAAGATATCGATTGAATTTTTGAATACTCACATCTTGACAGAGTAATTAACAAACTAAATGTCACTTGATAAACATCCCCATAATGGGGGGCTCAAATTATGACCAAATACTTCAAAGTTATGCACAATTTTAAAAAAAAATCAGGAAGTCAATAGGATATAAGGCTAAGAGAAGAGAAGAAATTCTGACAGTAATGGGCTACATTGTTTAGCTTCGAATGTTTCATGTACCTTTGCAAAGCTCTCTTTCATAGCAATGGGTTCTGTGACTATTTTTCTTATGACTTTAATGTATGTTTTACTGTCAGTCATCAATGTTTGTTTAACACGTGGAAAAGTTCTATTTAAACATTCCTTCAAGCTACTTGGCTAAACTTGCTATCCATTGGGTGCCTCGGAGGATAAATTATTGAAATCTAAGCAGATTAATACCTCATGCTTATTCCCATGGCTAATGCACAATTTTGCAGTTGGAACAAGAGTTTTAAGCCAAAACTTTAAGCTATGGAAAATTTTGCCTGCCTTATAAAGTAAACAGGTTCAAGTTGCCTTTTCAGTTTGGGAGGAGCTCTTAAGAATCCCTTGATGTGGGAGGGATGGGCTGGTTGCCCCCGTGAGCCTATTGAGCTGCTTTTCAATAACTAAAACTCAAGCAGGGAGCAGGCTGACTCCCTAGTTAAAAGCATAAACTAGGAATGGAGAAGATCTTTGAAGGCACTTCATCTTGTTTTTGAATATCTTCACGTCAGGAAATGCTCTTCTGAAGTGAATAAAACACTATCTTTAATGCAACAAAGCTATCACTACTTTATTCCAATTCCTGGGCTGCTTCAAAACATTGTTTTCCTGATTGTTAGAAACTTTCTCCTAATTTATTTTATTTTCTATGGACAAGAATCTTTATCAACAAGATACTGATGACAGTTATTATATATAAAATATTTTATAGCTAAGACACAATATCTTTCTGTCCTGTTTAATCAAAGAAATTAAATGGATGTTAAGTGTCTTCAGTCTAGGTGCCACATTTCCTTGATTCTATTAGCCCTTGTCCTCTCTAACAATTACACCCTACTTCTTCCTATCAACATTGCTTCCAATTCACGTTAAAAGCTCTTAAGTTTTGGCATTCAATATCAAGGCTGACAAAAGAAGAGACATTTTTCCCTTATCCTAGATAGGTGTCTTCTAAGAAGGTTTAGAATTTCACAGTATCTTAATATCTTAAGACTCCTCTATAAATACTCCCTCATTTCACTTTAAGCAAACAAGGGGAAAAATAACAGAAACAAATCCATTCTTACAAAACCAAGATGTGAATAGAGAAATACCTCTGGAGTACTGCTGTAGGCACTGTTGGTTCCCTCCTCACCCACTGCAGCCCTGAAAGCAAGAAAGAACATGGTGATCTAGTGGAAAACAACTGAATGTAGGTCTCAAAATTTGAGGATCTCAGCCCATATCTGAAGCTTGAAACAAAAGAGCTGTTTTTCAGAAATTCTGATTAGCCCCTTTTTAAATTACATCTTTCAAATTAGGCCAAGTAGATTGAATTTAGGCTTCTAAACCTAAAATACCTAATTTAGGTGCCCATAGTCATTAAATCTGATGATCTGAATGCTTTGTAGCGCTGTCAGAAAACTTTTAAGTATCAAGGGCAATATTAAATATAGCTTTCAACAGAAAAAATGACTTCTGGCCCGGCCTCTCCTGTTCTTTCTCACTCTCTCTTTCTTTTTCTACACTTTTTAACTCAAAGATCATCCTTCATTTTAGCAATGGAGTGTTAAGCAAAACTCAACAAGTAGCTCAACACTACTGTAATACAAACTGACTGTTGTGATATGGACTGTGCTTCCAGCAATGAGCACAAAATACTGTACTTAGTATATTTTTTTTGTCTCTCTTCTCCTAAATCTTCTGCAAAGCACATTTTAAAGAGCAGGCATGACCTGGCTCGTTGTGCGCAGCACCTTTTATAAACTCAGCAGAGCTGTGGAGAACAAGTACAAAAAACATACTTCTGCCTTGACATATCAGAAAGAAACAAGAACACCACAGAGACTGACCTGAGCATTATGGATGTATGTTATGGATCAGAGCCAGGATGCATGTTAGGTTAATTACCTCAGAAATACTTGAGTGACAAATCGCAATGATTAATTTAATAGAAAAAAATATTATGCAAAAAGTAGCAAACCTAATGAAGATCCTACTGCAATTATTTTCTTGTGCTTGCTAAATCTTTCAAGATCCAGATGCTCTTCCAAGAATTAATTGTATAACTTACTATGCTTCTCTGATTTAACTCTTAATTATTTGCTTTGGAGAAAGGAAGTACTCAAGTTGGTTTGAGTTTTTAAGTGCAACAGTAGTTTTTCAAATACAGAGGTTACAATTTACCTTATCTTTTAATTATACATCACTTTCTAGAAAGTAATTAATTCCACAGAAGTCAATATAACTGGTCATTCTGCACCCAGGAGGGTTACTGTTGGAATGACTGGCATGCAATAGGCTAGAACTGAGGTATGTTGCCCAAATAATATAGACTTCCTACAAAGAATTAATGATCTGTTTGGTATCTATTATGATCGATACCTACCAAAGAAAAGATATCCTACAAAAATAAAAGCATAGTGTGATATCAGGAGTGAAATTAATAAGACCTGCTTTTTCTGAAAGATAATAATGTTATATGACTTTGATACAATAACTAATATCCTGATTGTATATAAACAAACTCATTGATTATAACCATTTACATATGACCTATATTTATAAGAAAGGCTAAGAAAACAGAACGTGCATTATCTTCACAGGGACATGTAAAATTCAAATTTCTAACTCATCACTTGATACCAGGTGATGTTGATGCTAAAAACATGCTTGGAGCTAACTTCAATGTTCAAGGTGGTTTGGTTTCAAATTCAGTTGGGGATGAAATTGAAAGATCAGCTTTAAAACCCAGGGAAAAATTGTCATCTTTCATTGCAACTCTAATGCAAAAGGCTGAGGATTTAAACCCAGGTCTTTTGTACAACATTCCCATACAGTTCAATAAGTGTCTTTACTGGTGCAGGACTATGTCTTTGCCCTTGTGAATATTTAATAATTCAACAGGCAGCACTCACAAGGATTTCCCTTCCAAAATCCTTGCAGCCTCGTGGCTATCGCACTAGCCAAACAGTTAAAAATGAAAGTTGAAGTCTCCCTGGGCAGAGTAATTTAAACTCCCCATATTTGGGGAGTGTTCTTATCACAAATATACTGTAGATAGGATGGTATTTTATTTTGGAAGAAAAACAGTGATCATAATACTTGTTGAGTCTTTAGGGGAAAAAACAGTTTCCCAACATATCATAAAGCATCTTCAGTTTAGCAGGATCATATATAAAACACTCCCTCCCTTGTTTTGGGAGGACTTTATTTGAAAGGTATTTCCTCAGTTATGTGGCCAAGCTATTAGCAGAAAATATTACCATTTTTTTCTTCAAAATTATGAATGTATTAGCTGTCATTGTGATTATTATTCCACTGTACCTTTACCAAAATTGACACCTACATATTGTAGCCATATGAGATAAACAATCTTTGGTGGACAGGTAAAACAAATTATGTTTCCTTTTCTAGTAAAGTGGTGGAGGGTTTGTTTTGTTTGGTTTGGTGTGTTGTGGGGTTTTTTAATTAATTACTTGTTCTGAGAATGCTAAGAGAATGGAATATGTCTTTCTGGAATATTCAGGAAACACTATGTACAAGATTTTTAGATTGCTTTGAAATTCCTATTCGGAGCACAAGCTCATATGCAATGGTGTAGTGTCACAGTGTCCAAAAAACCCACTGTAAATGGAATGATCTTGCAGTTTAATGAAACAAGCATAAGTTAATAATCTGATTAGGCCAGTGGCCTGCCTGGATATAAAAGCTTCTCATGGAATTTGTATCTAAATTCCATATTCCCAGTCCTAGAAGAATAATATTTACTTCACTGCAGTTAGACCTCTTTAACAGAAGGGGACATAAAGCACAAAAATTGGCATTGGGGAATGAATGCATGAGCAGTTGTACTGAATCTCTATGAGGTGAGCACTGACAGAACAGCTATAAACAACATTCAGTAATAAGAAGAGAGTTTTACGCTAATGTTTCTTGGCCTGCTTTTGCGGAAGGCTATGTCAACGATCTTAATGGCAGATTTAGTCTCTGCTCCTGTAAATCACTCTGGCTGTAAATAAGAATCTGTCTATGTGGACGTCTTCACTGGATTGGGACCACTAAGTGTTGTATTTTTGCTGGAAAGATTATGAGACACTTCAAACTGTAAATCTGAATACATTTGGATACCAATCAGGCAGCTATAACACCAGCAAAACTCTCTCTGACTTGAAGGGAGTTTTGTCTGTGTAGAGAACAGGATTAGCCCCTCACGTAGTTATTTCCTCAGAGAAAATATTAGTGGAATGAGACATGATGCCTTTCTTCTGAATTTAACATTATTTGCTCAAAATAGTTTTCTCCTACTTTATATTTCCATGTTCATGGAAACTCTTTGCGTTATCACATACCTCTGAAGTCCATTGACTTAAGGATCTTCCTTCTGCCTCTAAACCTACATCATACAGAGCAGACTCTGTCTTCTGATCTATCTTGACAGTATTTCCCGGGTGTATTGATTATGTTATTATTTTATCATTAATGAGAATAACCCACATCAGAGCAACTGTGGCACAACTACTTCTGAGAACTGTGCGTTTACAACACTTTAAGTTCACTTGGTGGGATTCTGTAAAAATAGTGTGTTTATAAATGGCAGCTGCATCTACACTTCCTAACTGATGTCTTACAAAAGGTAATGAAACAAATGAAAAGAACTAGTATCTTCCTTGGCAGTCTCAATCAACAGAGTCCTTTTCTAGACTGAGAAAATTAAAGCCGTGATAGAAAACACCTGGTAAGACAGGTTAACAGCTACTGTATTTGAGAGCCCTGTGTAGACAGAGACTCAGTGGACTCAACTTATACCATAGGAAAGAAGAGTTTTAAACTCCAGCAATAATATTCATTTCATAGATACACGAGAAATTTAGAGTTAATAATCACAGCTTTTATTCAAGTCTAGAAAGAACAGCACAACTGCTGCAGGTTTCCAATCTGAATGGCAGTTCTGCTCTGAAAACAGTCAATTCAGTCAGAGAATTGGACAAGTAGTAATGGGTAAAATTGAAAAACTGCTACTAATTCTGCTGTGTAGATCAAGAGAGGATTTCAGCCTCCAAATTACCTTTCAAAAGTACTACTTTAGCATGAGAACAGAGGATTTAATTCATGTCATGCTTTGAGAAGAGTAGGTAATGGGAAAGCTGTAGAAGTTAGGAAGTAAAAAGTATTGAATGTTTTGAATGTGCACAGGCTTTCTTACACCATGGTGTACGTCTACATGCACCCTCAAAACATAACAATCAAACTAAAAATTACCAGAAAATTTAAATGAGTTGTTGCATGTGCACCAAACTCCAATGGTGGAATATTTCTTCTCGTGTATGCATCAAACACCCATGCTTATCTTACTATATCTACTTACTATATCTACTTACTATATCTTACTATATCCTAGAGCAAAATTAAGTGAAACTAAATGAAAATATTGCTTTATGTGAACAGGATGAAGAATAACTTTCCTGTAATTCCTTCCCTCTTAAAGAGGTTTTCACCTCTGCCAAAAGTGCCTATAACAAATCCCTGCTTGTTTCCTTTCCAAACTTCCTGAAAACCTTAGTTCACAGAAGAAAAGCTATTACTTTGCTCTCTGAGGGGAGGCCCAGAAAAGAATACTTGAACTTTGCATCATCTTGCTGCAACACATGCAATCAATACCTATCATTGCTCCATAAGCTTTACACAGTTTCATCATTTTGTCTGTTCACTCTGTAGTACCATTAGTTCTACAGTGCAATTTTTTTTTCATCAGGAAAAATAATTACATCATGCAAATATTGTTCTTCTGGTGTTAGGCACTTTATATTTCAGGAGCTGGAATTTCAGGAGAAGCAGCGTAAACACCAGCCACAATTATTGAAAGTATTTCCCTGCATTAACATTACTTAAAATAGTCTGTTTTCAAATACTTTGAACAAGAATTTAGACTAACTTGTATTAGATGCCTATCTTTGCATAGCCTAGCAAATTCTATTTGCTGAAGAGTTTTGTAAGAAAAGTAAACTGTAGCTAAAAAAGCCAACACTGACTCTGGTTTAAAATATATATATGTTTATTGATTCCCTTTTGGTTGTTGCAAGAATATTGCGCTCTTGACAGCAAGGGAACTAATAGGATATGCACGGCATATTCTTTCCTGCAATAAATTCTTAGGGATGGGTATT